ATGTAGTGAAAAAATGACAAGCAAAGAGTGACGTGCCCAGCGTGCTGGCGAATATGGCGAGCTGCCTGTCGGTGGTCATGCTGACCAGCTCCACCGTAGCTTTGGTGGCCTGGGCACAAGCACAACTGAGTTTCTGATTTTGATGATGTCTCACTTTGTGGCTTGTGCTTTCAGTTACTGGCCTCTCTAGGTGTGACATGCTTATTAAAAGGTTTGCTCAGCTCTGCCCCCACCCATACCCCTAAATGTAGGCATTGAGTTTCTGATTTGTCTCTCCCGTGCTTATTTTTGCAAAATCAAATGCTTTCTCTTTCATACACAAAGGTTTTTCTTTCACTAAGTGCGCCCTGGGGACCAGCCCCAGCTCAGTGTGGGGCCTTCTGCACCTCCTGAGCAGGGCTTCAGGGGAATGGGAGCAGCTGTCCCTGTATCCCGGTCCTCTCCATGGTGCGGGTGAGCCCTCAGGATGACTACTGAGGGGAGGGGATGCAGTCACAATTTAGGGCTCAACTGTTAGAAACAACCACATTGGCCTCTGTTGTGTGCTGAGCACTTGCAGCTGCTCAGCAGCTCATCCCAGGCCAGCTCCCGGCAGCACCAGCCAGGTCTCCAGTGCACTGGCGATGCTGCTCTGTGGCCAGCCTCCCGCGACACTGCCTTCCCTGGCTGCTTTGACTTGGGATAGATTGGCTACACACATCACTGGGTCATTCCCTTGGTGTTAGCTACACCATAAACATGAGATGACCCATGCTTATTGAGCAAAGGGTTGCAGCTCATGGCCTCTGGGGTACAGCACATCACTGGGAAGCGTGCATGGGGAGCAGAACCCAGCACTCACACAGGGCAGGGAGGCTGGAAGAGGAAGGGGGCAGGGTCCCAGTGTTCCCTGCAGAGCCACACTTGCACGGGTAGGCTGCATTCCTAAGTCCTACCATGTCCCCACAGTGCCACCCTGGGAACCAAGCCTCTGGCACACAGGCCTGGGAGGTACTCGCCAGATCCAACTGTGAGCCCATTGTGTAGCAGTTCCGCTGACGTCCTGCTTCCTGCGGATGGACACAGGAGTGAGTTCCAGGCTGTGCCTGCCGGGAACCAAGTGGCAGAGCATTCTTGCGGCCACCCCTCTGGAACACGGGCAGACAGCAGTGGCGTAGCCGGCTCCCACAGGCACATTTAGCTGTGTGTGCTTCTAGCAGCTCCACACTCTCTGGGAGCCTGGTGCCACCTGCCATCCCTGCACTATAGCCAAGCCCCTCTGAAGGGTGGTCCCACCGTGTGGCTTCTTCGCACCACCCTAAGGACTGGTTCTTACTAGCCATTGTATTTTTCCTCCTCTGCCATTTTTAAGAAATCAGTTTGCAGCTTTTCCCCCTCATATTTATTAGTATGTATTGGTTACACAGATGAATGGGTTTCATTATGGTAGATTTGTGCACGCACATAACACTTCAGTCACTCCCTTCCCCCTTCCCTGGATTTCACATTCTTCAGCAGGTGAGTCTGTGCTGATTTCCATCCCAGTCATTTCACCCATTCCCTACCTTCCATGCTGTCCACCCCTATTACCTCCCCCTTATCTAGTAAGTCACACAAGGAAAGATGCCACACAAGGAAAATATGTGGTACTTGTGAGTCTGGTTTCTTTAGCTCAAAACAATCTCCAGTTTCATCCATCTGTCCGCAAAAGACAACTTTGTACTTGTTTCTGAATAACAAATAACTCCACTGGGTGTACACATTGTCTTTATCCATCGATTGATGGGCACGTGGGCTGGTTCTGTATGTCAGTCGTGCTACAGTAACTGTGGCCATGCAGGTGATCCTATATATAGTACACAGGCTTTAACTGCTTCCAGCGCATACTGGGGAAGCAACAGCTGGGTCAAATGGTAGCTCTAGGTGTAGTTTTTTGAAGAAAGATTCCTTTCCCCTGCATCCTCACCAGCACATACTGTTTTGTTTTGTTTTTGGTACCGAGGATTGAACTCACAACCTAGTGCTTGCCAGGCAGGCGCTTATGCTGCTTAGCTAAATCCCCAGCCCCTACAGTTACTGTTTTTTGTATTCTCGATGACCACCATTTTGGCTGGGTGAGATGAAATTAGTGTTTGATTTGTATTTCCTTGTTTGTTCTGTTAAATGAGGTGTTTATACATCATGGGTACATGTGTTTTCATACATAGTAAAGATATTTTCTGGTTCACAACTTGATTTTCTCTTCACAGTGATGTCTTTCACAAGGCAGGCACTTAATTTGTAAAAGGTCAATGTTTGTTTTCTGCCTTAAGAACACTCTCCTTTTGAGCACCTGCCCATGTTCAGTGCACTGCTCACATGGTTGCCATGTAATCTTTATTGGTCTTTCTCCTTCTGGCTTTTAAAAGCTCTGTGTAGAGAGAGAAGCAGCCCTGTAGGGGCCCTGATGCTGCAACCTCTTGCATCTTTTTCCTAGTGTTTTTCCATGTAAAATTACATGCATGAGGTCTTTTAGAGCACAGCACGTCCAGTTTTATCACTTAAGGATTTGGGGCCACAGGCTTCCCGTGCCCCCAGGATAAAGGCATGGACCAGTGATTGCTTATGGTTGCACTTTTCTAACATTGCTAACATTTCTAAGGTTGCTCTTGTTTGGAATTGATTCTGTTGCGCCATACAAAGCACATGATCAATTTTACCTTGTTTTAGGTGACTTTCCAGTTGCCCCTGTATCACATACTAGAAAACTCACGTTAGTGACCTGCGATCTCAGTCCCGAGACCTTTACTGTTAAATTCTAGACCTACCACCATGCTTGGGCTCTGCCTCCTGCTCTGGGCTCCCTTTTCCCTGGGCAGCTTCTGTTGCCCTGGCAGCACCGCTCTCTGACTTAGGGGCCCTGTGCAAGCTGAACAGGCCTGAAGGGCAGACAAGGACACCTTGCTACCTTTCTTCCCCAAGATGCTCTGCGTGCCCTAACTTCCACAGAAACTTTAAAGCCAGCAACGACGCTTGTTGATTTTCAAAACTGGAGGTTGTGTTCAATCTGTATAGCCACTTGGGGAAAGCTGCTATGTTTATCAATGTTGAAACACCAAAATAAGAAGGGGTGTTTATCTTTTGTTCCATTTCACTCGGTGTCTTTCTTGAGCTTGAGATTCCTGTGAGGGGTGCTTTGAAGTATTTTTGTTCCATGTAAATTCTGAACATCAGTATTAGTTTTCCCTGGCAGTTTGTCTTTTTTCACTGCTCTTCCCAAGGCTCATTTTCCCCCCTCTGCTGCTGGCTGATGCTGTTTGTACAGAGAGCTGGAACACATTAATTGTGTATCTTGCTATCTTACACAAAATGTTCTTTTTGTCTGTATTCATCTCAGCATGAATTTCCTTGGGGTTCCTAGGTGTGCGGTGTACTGTCTCTAGGGGTCAATAATTTATTTTTAAAGGATGGCATTGGCAGGTCTCTGGAACCTAGTCCCATCCACACCCTTGCAGCTCTGAGCACCGGTGTCGTAGGAAACCCCTGCCAGTGTGCTACAAGTTTCACTCAATAAGAGGACATCTAAAGTGGCCTTCCTGGCTGCACTGGCCCTGGGTAGGTTCCAGGAGAAAAGGCCTGGGCTTCTGATGCACTAAGGGATACCCGCTGCTGCCACCGCAGTGTGTCCCCTGAATAAGAGCAACAAAGACTGCCTGAAGCGTGCTGGCCGGCCCTTCATGCACGGCAGCGAACCTATGGCAAGCATACCACATTTGGTTCAATCACTGAACGCTCTAGAAGACTCACCATCACTGTTCTAGCAGTTTAGTTAGCCCTTAGACCGCTAGAGCCTGAAAAGCGGGTGCAGAGCACTGAACGCTGGACCCTCTGCCAGAAGCCCCTGGAGCTGTTCTGTGCTGTGCTGTGCTGGGAAGAAGCCTCGGGTTTTCCTCTCTAGTTTCCGTGTCCACCCCGGGACTTGGAAGCCAGGCTGTGTGCAGACCCTGAGCTAGCCTGTGTGTATGAATACCCTGTTCCTATGGGCCTCTTGGCCGAGCTGGGTAGCCTCTGGGAGCCCCAGGGTGCAGAGCCTGGACCTGCTATACTACTGCAGCCTCACTGGGGGTTGGTTGGGGGTTCCTTCTGTCCAGGGTCTCCGGAAGGAGCTATCCCTCCCCACCCTGCAACACCTCTCGTTAACACCTTCAGGCTGGCTCCCCAGGGACACATTGGCAGGGGTGCCCTAAGCTGTGGCCAGATCCCTGGGTCTGTCTGGCTGCACCCTTGCCTCAGGCCTAGAGGAGCTGCAGCACGAGGCGGGGGGACACAGTACCCTATCCTGCAGCAAGGCCCGTGCTCCTGTGGTCACGGCAGCAGTGGCTCTGCACATCCCTGGACCTGGCCAGCAGCTGGGCTGAGGCTCTCCCTTTCTCCATGCAGATCTGGGACATGAGCGATGAAGAGACCCTCTGAGACCACCGTCGAGGAGCACGGGGGGCACGACAGCAGCCAGGATGGGCGATTCCAGGCCGGCGTGTCCCCTCACCCTGATCCTGCATCCTCTGAGGCACCGCCTTCCCCATCCTGAGCTCAATAATAACTTTGGCCTTGGCACCACAGCCTTCGGCACAGCCCCTGTGTGCAGTTCTGTTGTCACAGGGGTCAGATGCCCAGGGGTGGCCACACGGAGGTAGCACCCACATCTTTGGGTTCCTTTCCGCACCCGTAGGTGGGACCTGTATGTACTTCATCAGCCAGGTCCTGGTGGGGGAGGTGGGGTGGCCAAGCTGCCTGTGGGACAGGAGCCACCTTGTCTCCAGGCGGAGGACAGGGGTACCTGGGGCCGCCTGCTCATGACTGGACAAGCCTCTTCCTCCCTTACTTGCATCCTGGTGGCTTCAGCAGCTCAAAGTCACGGTCAAGTTGAGAGCCCCCTCTCACAGAGACACGGTCAAGACTGAGATCACCTCCTCCCGCTCCCATCAGGCAACTCCGGCCTCCGCCCCACCACCCCCGGGCTCCAGAGCTACACACAGCCAGCCTGTGGTTTAAGAGCACTTTATTATTGTTCTTAAGGCTACTTTTAAGTACAAAAAAAAAGATGGCCTGCCAAACTTTTTTTTCTTCTTCTTCCAGGAAAAACAGGCCACAGAGAATGGTATATTACAGATTTACACATATCATAGGAGTCAGAACGCGCCGCGGATGGCCTGGGTCTGGGGACGGCCTATCCCAGATAGGTCAGCGTGGGGACCCGGCCACCAGCACCACCGTCCCCAAGCATCGCCCACTCACTGGCCAAGGAAGGGTCCGCAGCGGTGGCTCTGGCCCGCGCTCAGTAGCCTGCAGCAGTAACAAACGTGTGGCTATGAATGCGGATGGTGGTCTCGGCGTACCTGTGTTCCTGCACGTTTACGGACACATCCACGACCAAAAAAAGATCAACTTTTTTTCCAAACAACAAAAAAATGAATGATTACGATAGGAAAGGGAAAAATTAAATAGCTACATATCATTAACAAATTAATTGTTCTTCAAAAAATACCTACAAATTTCTCTGTACATTCTTTACGCACAGCGTAATGATGGTCTTAAAGTTACCTATATAAAAAAAGTGTTCTCAACGATTTTTTTTCCTACAGAAAATACAGGGGCCTGAATGCCAAAGCTTGGAAGCCCAGTCCAGTGGGAGTGACTGGGCCTGGAGATGGGCTTCCTTCCACTCTAAAGGCCAGCGGCCTGACCAGTGTAACCACGAGAGCCAGGCCCAACCTCCCACCACCGTCCCAAAGTCAACAGTGGGCCTGGGCGTCTCCTCCTGTGAGCCAGCTCAGGACTCCTGCGCCCCTCGTGCCTCATAGTTGAGGTGGCCACGCCTGTGTCACCCAATCAGGTGATGTCTGGAGTCCCATAGGAGCCAGGCTGGATGCCGACCCCTGGGGTGGGAACAGAAATGCTCACTGACCAAGAGGAGGAGTGGCTGTGGGGCACCCACAGCCCTGTCTTGGGCGCTTCTAATGTCTAATTTTAGTAGCTGTGAATACGGCAGACGATAAATGCAGTCGTAACTGGATAAAGTCAGGAATGTACATGGCCTTGGCCCCACGCACCAGGAAGCACATGGAACGCCATGGTGCGGCTCAACAGCAATCTGCAGTTAGCCAAAGGATCGGGCTGTGCCCGGGAAGCTGAGGCACCATCCAGGTCTCTGGGGTGTGTCACCAGGCAGTGGCGATCCCAGGGGCAGTGGTGCTGGCCCCCTGCAGCCCAAGCCTGTTCCCGCCGCCTGCCAGCTGCGGCCATCTGCGCTCCTTGCGAGTATCAAATAGCTCAGAGTACAACTGTACCAGCAGTAAGTAGATCTAGGACTGGGACTGACAAACTAATTCTGAAAAGAAGCCATAAGTACTTAGGGTCACTGTCTATAAAATTAATAGAAACCAGCTATTTTTTTCTCCATTAAAACATGAGTCCTCTTTAAAGCACTATGGAGTCCTTGACCTCAGGCCCCAACAGCTGTAGTGATCCCAGAGGGTGAATGCCCACGTGGCAGCCCCGACTCTAGACAAGACTGCAGCCCACATGGCACCCCAAACTCCTCTTACCTCACTGCACCCCAGCACGGAGGGTCGGGAGCGGCCGCCCTGCGGTCCCAGCACTCTGCCCTCAGGGTGCCAGTGCTATGCGGCAGCTGCCAGGCAAAGCCTCCGTCCTCCAGTAGTGCAAATCAGATGCTGTACTTTGCTCCAAGTACACACGCACGCGTGCACACACACACACACACACACACACACACTCGGCCTGGGGAAGCACACAAGAAGAGCACAGAGCGCTGGGACCCCCAAAGTCGTCATGGCTTATGGCTGAGGATGCTGGAGCCCTGGCTGGCTGCACACTGTGCCGGAGATTTCTTTGGTAACCGAGGCAGGAAACGAGCGCCACAGAGAATGCCGCCGACTGCATGCCGCCTGCTGGCACACTGAGGGCCCCTTGCAAGGACACCAAGCAAGTATGAGACAGAAGAGCACAGAACCCCATAGTGCGGGTTTGTGAGCACCCCCTTTCCTTCCCCCCACCCCACCCCACAAATTTTTTTTTCTTTTTTTTCTTTTTGAAGTACTGACTGTTCAAAGCTCAGGCAAACCATGCAGACGGGTGTGGTGCCGGGCGCCCTCAGGAGACCACAGATGGAGAGTGGCCATGGCTGACCATGTGGGCGGAAGGGCTGGTGGGCTGGCCCCGGCGTGAGGCTGACTCGGGGCTGCTGGATGCACCGTCCTTGGCTGCCTTGATCTGCAGCCACGTGTCACCCAGGGCTTTGGCGAAGTGGTCATCCACAGAGCCGGTGATGGACACAGAGTTGGGCACTGGCTCCGATTCCTTGTAGTTTTTGCCCAGGCTCCTGCGGAAGTGCTCCTCCACCACCGGGTCACAGGCAGGGGCGGCTGCAGGGGGTAGGGGAAACAGGGGAAGGCCACATCTGAGTCTGGAAGAGGGGATACTCACTGTCCTGGGCAAGGGCACTAAACAACAGCAACCCCGTCCCATGTGTCCCTTCCCACCCCCTGTCAGCAGGGACACTCACCGCTGGGTGGTCTCCGGTAGCTGGCAGGCCCAGGTGCAGCGCAGCCGCTGTGTGCAATGGGGCAGTGAGAAAGGTTGCAGTTGCGGGCGCCAGCTGAGGCACAGGTGATCACCGAGGGCCGGTTCTGTAGGGGAGGTGTCAGGACTTAGCACTCACTCGGCCGCAGCACCTTGGCCCCAGTCCACACCCCTCACCTGCACTGTCCTCCCTCGAGCATGACCCTTGGTAGGGTGAAGTGCCAGGAGCTGGGGGTGTCATACAGGTGGCAGACAGTGGCAGGAGGAACCCCAGTTCCTGCGGGCCCCAGGTATTCTTGGATCCCCTGGGTATCCAGGACCTCTCTGCGCATCTTCCTGTAGGCCAAGGCTTTTGCCTGACCAAAGCCAGTGCAAGTTGGTTCCTTCCTGTTGTGACCAAGATGAGGTGCCACAGCCCTCACCCAACCTCGCTGCTCCCATCTCACTTTCTCCCACTGTCACCTCCACACAGTGTCTCACAAATGCCTCTGGAGCCTCTTCAGGAGTAGCTCTTCCTCCCTTCCTGGAGTCCTGACCAGAGGTCGTAGTGGGGACCTCGCCAAACAGCATGTCCTTGAGCTTAGGGGACGCCCAGCTACCAGGTCAGCACCACCCAGAGGGACAAGGCTTCCAAAGGCCTGGGCTCGAGGCCCCTTCTGGCCTGAGCCACAGGGACTCACCCTGGACAGTCACGTGCTAGACTGTCTGCCCAGGCTGTCCCCACTTGTGACTGAGCACAGCCAGGGACCTGGCTCCACTCGTGCCCGGGAGACCCAGTAGCCCCAAAGGACAGACATTGCCTGTGGACAACACGCAGGCAACCGCTCTCCCTCTGAGTCGGCTCAGCCCTGCCACACTGCCTGACTTGTGCCTGGGGCCACGTCCGGCAGCGCCAGCACCAGTGGGGCCCTGCTGGTGCACTGTCCCTAGGGTAAGGCCTCCCTCTTTGCTGCAGGCTTCAACACCACCCTCTTGGTGTCTACACACCTTTCTCCCTCACACACTTACTCTCCAAGCTTCCAGAGCACATGGCTCAATGTGGGGGTCATCCCTGTATCCCTGACACAGCACCTGGCCACGAGCCTAAAGTGGGGAGCACTATGTGCACGTGTATGGTGGGGACAAGCACAGCAGCCTATGCCCCTGACCACCCTCCAAAGCCCTGGGCAGGACCTGTGCTGGCCACAGGTTGACCCAAAACCTGGCAGGTAACCCTGGGCCCTGGCAGCCCACGCCACTATCTACACTGGCTTCTTGCCAGAGCCACCAGGCCCTTATGTACTGTGGAGTCCCCTACAAGCCTCATTTTTCAGAAGAAACTTCTGTTAACCATTGTAATACTTTCCCCATCTTCCTTTACAATGTGTCCCAAGCCTCTGACCGGCTCAAGCTGAAAGGGTCCCAGCCCAAAGCGAAGCCCCACAGTGACCACCCCAAGTAGCTGGCCCGCCCCAGCCTCTGGCCCCGCACAGGCGTGTGTACCTGCTGCCGTTCCACGTGCGTGAGCGTGGGAGAGAGGCCAGCTGCCCGGCCAGTGTCCCCACTGCTTTTGGTCAGGGCAAGGGGCTGTTCCACCCCAAGGCTGGGCAGGGACGCATACAGGTGGCCACCATGCAGGCCCATGGTAGGGGCCACGGCGCGTTCTATGGGGCTGCGGCTGCGCTCCCGGGGGTCCTTCCGACAGTCTCCATTGGTGGCCTTGTTCCTGCAAGAGAGCAGTAAGCCCTTAGAAGGGGACACCAGGCCTGGGCCAGGTGATGCCATTCCAGCAGAAAGGCACAACCTCCACACACCCAGAACCTCGCACTGTGGGCAGGGGGCGACCCCACCTGTTACTCCCTGTGTGGGCTGAGGTTGCCTGAGGAGTCAGAGGGGACGGCATGACACTGTGCCAGCACGTGGACCTGGGACCACCACCCTTTCTGCCCTGGAGCCCTCCCTTCAGTGCCTCAAGTCCTCTGGCACCAGAGTTGTCCTTCTGTGACCTGTAAGCAAATCTCTCAAATCAAACTGTGGCTGATGAAGAGCTCTGAGCCTGTTCTTTAAGAACTGCAAACTTCTCATCAGGGCATTGTCCCCTCCCTGCTTGTGCACACAGCACATGGTAACATCAAAGCAGGGACAAGGAGTAGGCAGGCAGGCATGGAACCCATCAGCCTTGGGCACCCCCCGCTCAGGTGGCGGAAGATGGCGTTACGGTTCTGTTCTCTGGTTGCCCACACAGAATGACTTCAGAGCAACCAGGAAATGAATATCCATCCCATGAAGACAACTCTGGGGGAGAACATTCCACTAGCTTACACATCACGTCCCCTGTGTGCCCCTCACCCTAGCGGTTCTTAGGGTCACCCACAGTGCAAAAGACTCCTCCCCAACACTGACCCTGGTGTGTTCCTGCTGCACCTCTACGGTGACTGCAAACTGGAGATAGACTATGTGCTTGAGGTCTCCAAGGCTGACACCCCTGCCCCACATCCTGTTAGACCCCTGGGCCCAACACGCACTGGCTTCTACCTAGCTGAGGGTGACGCTTAAATACAGTCATCAGACCTTGCAGGAGTTACAGTTTCTTCTAGTTCAGGGAAAAATGAAATGGTTTTCTAAGTAAAACTGTGTTCTGGACCCAGTGTGGAGCCCAGTGTCCCTGGGGTGCAGGGTGTATCCACAGCGCGGAACCGTTTAGCCTGGGGTGTCAGGCAGGCTTCTGTTCACCCAGGCAGCATTAACTGAGCCCTAATCGTATGGCAGCTACAGAGCAGGACATGGTGCTGACACTCCAGCAGGGACAGGAGGCCCAGGGAAGGCACACAGTTGGCAAGGAACCTTCAAATACTCGGTGACAAAAGGCACAGGCTAAACATCCCCATCAAGGTCACAGATGCTTCACACCCCCTCCCCAACCACAGAGTACCCCACCCCACGGCGTGTCAGGTCACCATCACAAAGGGCAGTGTCATCATGCTCCCTGCCTGGCCCCTGGGTTCACCAGACAGAAACACAGTTCAAGGGAACACAATGCTACAGGCATCATGGGAACAACAGACCTTGAGAAACAGAAGGCCCGAGACCTTGCCGGTAGTTTTAGTAAAACTGTACATTACTCACACTTCCAGCTGCCCTCCTACTTCCTGAAGCTCACAGACTTTTCCCCGTCATCACCTCCATGAATCACACTCAAGCCCACACTTCCCAGGGCGTCACACACTTGGACTGGGACCCAAACCACATGCACCCTGTGGCAGCACAGAGACAGGCGCACCGTGACTCACTGGGCCTGAAGGGCTCGTGGGGGCTCCGTGCCAGGGCACCCACCCCAGGAGTGTTTCCCCAGCTGGGGTTAGGAGGAAACCAAAAGGCCGCAGGGTAGCGGCCTGTTACACCTTGTCCAGGACACTGCCTTCTGGGGGACACAGGCCACCTGCTGCAGAGGAAAAGCATGTCCACAGCATGCTTGCCATGGTGGAAAATGCCTCTAATCCCAGCTCTCAGGAGGCTAAGGCAGGTGGATCTCTGAGGGTTTAATGCTCACGTGGACTACAAAGTGAGACCCTGTCTCCAAAAACCAAAATAATAAAGTTCCCACTGTGTTGAGGAGAAAGTAAACCAGCTGCCAGTCAGCAAAGCTGTGAAGATCAGGCTTAGGGTCTGCAGAGTGGATGTGGGCAGGGATCACTCTCTCAGGCTTCCTTCCGAGGAGGCACTCTGCCTCCTCCCAAGCCGTCCAGCCTCCAGCACAGCTGCTATAGTGGCAGGAGATGTTTCCCAGCACCAGGCCAATGCAAGGTGTAGGAGAGACTGGTTTCCCTGGCAGGATCTGGACCACACAGATACAGGAGCAGGCCTGGATGGGGGTCCATGTCAGAGCCCAGGGACAGGAGGAGTCCTCTGAAAGCCACAGGATGGCTGAGACCCACACACTGACTGCTGACAGCACTGTGCCAGGCCTGCAAGTATACAAGGCAAGCACTGACCATGGAGCTGCTCCAGCTGAGTAAGTGGGGGGAGCCTGCCTCTGGGGCCTTCCCAGTGAATTAGAGCACATCCTGGGGCCACCCAGGGCCCTCGTGAGCAGGACACGCTCTCAGCCCAGGGCAGATGGCACTCATTCTATGACAGCCCTCACTGAACCAACGCGTGTGGAAGGTCACAGACCATGTGAGAGTCCAATTAGAAGCATGCACAGGGATGAACAGGTCACCAGACATTTCAGCATTTCAGAGGAAATGACCAGAGGGAAGTAATTTAAGCAGTGTTTAAAGTGTGGGCCTGCACAGCAACAGTGTCCCCTCCTGTCAGTCATCCCCTCTACCTCCACGATGAAGGCCAACTCACTACCCACCATGCTTCCCCACAGGCAGGATGCAGCTTCCCAGGTGAGTAGCTCAGGGCTGGTTCAGGACAGGAAGTGGTGGCCATGACCTCTTCGAGAGAAGTTCTACATCAGGGAAACGTGTCCTTGAGCCAGTGTACATAGAGGCAGGAAGATTCAGTGGCCTGGGGGACCCAGTGGTGAAAGAGGCCGCACAGAGCTGCCCCCTTGTAGCACACAGAAGCTAACACCAGCCTGCACCGTCACCTTGTACCTCCAGCCTCCACCAAGTGACAAAGTTCTCCACGGCCACTGCTATCCAGCAGCTCAGCTGCTACCTGTGTCTCCTGTGACATCCGTCCTTCTGCAGGAGCCCAGAGGAGCTTGAGCGCGCAGTCACTCCACAGTCACATGGTAGGGGCCAGCCAGCTCCAAGCCACCACACTGCTTCCAGCTAACTCAGGTGAAAGCCTCACAAAAGAGACTGCTGCTGGCACACACCTGTGACCCCAGCACTTGGGAGGCTGAGGTAGGACTGCTGTGAACTCAAGGCCAGCCTGAACCACACAGTGAGACCTTGTCTATACATGAATAAATGATTTTAATTTACAACATCCCGTTAAGTCATTTCATTCCTGTCTCAGTGACTTTCGGATGTAACATGGGCCTGCAGAACACTCCTCAGACCTGTCTCCAGAAGCCCACGGTTTCTTCCCTCTGATTGCCAGGAAATTTACCTCTGCCACAGGTACCCCCATCAAGACAGGCAGCCCTTATCCCTTTGCTCCTCACAGTGGGCCAGAGAGCCAGGAAGTCAAGTTTTCCTGAAGATGTGTAAGGAAGAGCGAGTCTGGGGCCAGCTTCTGCCAGCGGCCGCCCACACTACACCAGCACAATGGGCTTCTCAAGATGCTCAGGGACTGGGCTCACTTCTGGGCAGCTCCCCCCGAAAACAAGGTACTGGCTAATTTTCCCTGACTACAGTGGGCCCGGTGTGCTTCCATCATGAGTTGCGACAAGAGGAGAAACTGAGGTTTGCATGTGGGTCAACCTGTCCGCCCTCCACGCTGGCCACACCAGGAAGGCAAGGGTGTCCACCTGCAGGCTGGGAGGCTGGGGCCCACATGCCCAGCATACCTCATTCCCAGATGTCCCAATCAATCATGTGCTGCACACATGAGTGAATGAGGGCTGAAATTAATCAAATATAAGCTAATTTAAAATCCTCAAAATCTGTAGCTGTTTTTGTCATTACGTATCCTGTCAATGAATGAGATTTCTAAAAACTACAACCATTTGCAGATTTTTGGCATTAGGCACAGTCGTCACAACAGAGAAGGACGGGAAACATTATGTTCTCCAAGATCTGAACTGCTATGTCTGCCATGGACACGACCCTCAAACACCATCTTCCCTCCAGGGATAGAACTCAGCGGTACCATGCACCTGCCCAGCAAGTGCAAGGTTGTAAGTTGAATTTCCAGCACCAAAAAAAAAAAGACCATCTTTCTCTCTGTAGAGCAACTGTGACTGTGACATCTGCATGTGGGGACCAGCTTTGCTGCCTTTAGGGTTGAAGAAGGAGAAGTGGCCACTCGAAGCCCAGCAAAGGCTTCTTCGCTCAGTACCTCTACCCTGGGTCCCCAACTCTGCAAGGCACAGGCTAGGCAAAGCCTCAGCCAAGCCCATGGGTATCTACCCCAGCACTGATGGAGTAGTAAATTCTTAGAAGAAGCCAGCCCCACACAGATTTGAATACGGCAGAGCAGCTCAGGAAGCCAAAGGCCATCTAGCTCAGGAGCCCAGAGAAACCCCGGGGGACCCCAGCGATTGGATAGCAAGCCTCTGACAGGACGGATGTAGAAGGAGTTTCCGGGGCCGCCTCCCCTCCTGGCTGCACGGTGACCTCCATAGTCCCAGTTGGTTTCTGTCCGAGGCTCAGGCATGGGGGGGGGGGGTGCATGACATTCTTCCACTCATCTGCAGCAAGTCGTTGGAAAAGTTAAGACACATGGTTCACTGCAAACACTGGATGCTGTGCTAAAGTTTCAAGACACAGTGATCACCAACAGCAGGATCCTGCAGTCCCAGCAGCCAGGGAGAGGTGATGGGCACTGCAACCCACACACCTCTGGGCCACCTCTTCTAACTGGTTATCAACACAATCTGCACCGAAAGACTGCACTATCCAGCCCCCTATGAAGGACACCTGCCTTCCCAGCACTCAGTGCATGCACGTCCTCTGCCAGCTACCCCAAGGGCCTTTCCACACCAGCATCATCTCACCCGGAGCTCAAGGCACTAAACCAGACCCATGCACCCACCTGCTCACCCAGTGCTACACACCGGAGCCGAGCCTTGTCATCAGGTGTGGCCCCTAGAGCCAGGTCCCCTCCCAAGGTTCCCCAGGAGCACAGCCATGGAAAAGACTCATCCTGCATCCACAGCAGCAAATCTCTGCCAGAAACCAGGGTACATGGGCTACATGGGAAGTCCAGGCCAGTCGGGAGCAGGGTGGCTCCCAGACCTGCATGCCCAGAACAGCATTTAACAAAGCCACCTGTGGTGGTTCCATCTCAAGGTGGGGCTTTCCGAGCATTCAGTGAGGGGGTGGGGCCTAGCTGGGTGCTGGGGGCATGGCCTGCAAGGGCCCAGGCCCTCTCCAGGCTCCCTTCCCTTCTGCCACGCAGCAAGCAGGGCCCTTCCACCCAGAACCTCCTGCCATGCAAGGACTAAGACTTGCAAACGAGCAAAAGTCAATCTCTCCTTTATTTTATTTTACTGTATTTTATTTTATTTATTGGTATGGGGATCAAGCTCACAGCCTTGCACTTGCCAAGCAGGGGCTTAGCCACTAAGCTAAATTCCCAGCCCTCAACCTCTCCTTTAAGGGAAGAGGAAAGGGACAATACCACAGACACACCATCCTCTGCTCCTGACTCCACCTAGGCTGCAGACACAGGCTTTTCATCCGTGTCTATGTCACACGTGTGCATGCTGTCAGACGTACCAGCAGCCTCCCTTCCAGCGACGTGCTGTAGCACCCCTCCCCCACCGTGCATCTGCCCAGGCCTAGGAGTGGACAGTCCCAGGTGACCTTGAGGACTTTCCTGTACTGGAGGAGGACCTGAGTCCACAAACTGAATCAGAGCTAAGCATCTTCAAAGCTGATTTTTAGAAAAACAATTCAACCTTCTCTGTCTGACCAGAGAAACTGCAAAAACAAAACCAGCCATGCAATTACAGTACAACGATGCTAAATTTAAGCACTGAATATATGCAGTGATAAAATCTTCATCTAATAAAAGACTTTTTGTTTTGTTTTGTTGGATTTCACTTTGTAGTATAGGCTGGCCTTAGACTCACTACAACTGGCCTCAAACTCACAGGAATCCTCCTGCCTCACCCTCCCAAATGCTGGGATTACAGGCACAACACACCCAGGTAATAGAAGATCTGGAGGTAGCTACCTTTATTTATTGATTGAGATAGGGTCTTACTATATAGTGTAGGCTGGCCTCGAACTCTCAAGAGATCCTCCTGCCTCAGCCTTCTGAGTGCTCGGCTTATAGAGCCCATATACTTTCTTTTCTTTCTTTTTTTTGGAGACAGGGTCTCACGCGTTTCAGGCTGGGCTCATTTTGTAGCCCAGGCTGGTCTCAAACATGCAACGATCCACCTGCCTCAGCATCCCAAGTGCGAGAGTTACAGGAGTGCACCTGGCAACGAGGAAGTTTTTTGGTTTGGGGGGTACCAGGGATTGGACTCTTGACTTTGACTTGCCAGGCAGGCACTTACACTGCTGAGCTAAACCCCAGACCGCCAAGACCTTCTTCAGCCCATGTAATCTTTAAAGGTAATTTCATCTGTAAGCAGGCAGTGCAGCAAATCCATATACAGCATTTAAGGCAACTACCACCTCTGAGTGCCAGGCAGGCCCCCTGAATTCTTACCTTCCCCCAAAACAGAGGAAAGGATTAGCTAGTTTTAAAAACACAGATGGCATGAAGTAAGATCTAAGTCCTTTAAAAGAAAGATTATTTTGAAGACACCTAGGTTCTGATTTATAAAAGTGTTACTGAAATGTTCTACTCTTCAGAGTCAGCAAAGAGATTAGAATGAGTGGTCCTGGGTGCCCCCTCCCCACGCGCGCACGGGGCCTGGCAGTTACAGGTCCCCATCCCCACCAGGGGCCCATGTGACAGCAGCCACCCCACAGCAACCTGCTCACCATCACGTGGACACTGACATCCAAGTGCCCATCTCGGAGGACATGGGCCCTCTGCACGGCCCCACACTGGCTGGGTACAGAGGGACAGCACTGGGAGGGAGTCACCACTGTCCCTGCGGAGCACGTCCTCAGCGCCACCACGCCCAGCTTTAAATTAATCCCAGACGAATGCAGAGGGCTGCCATCTGGTTTGGAAAAGGCAAAAGGCAATGAAATGAAAGGCTTCGCACTAACCTCACTTTAATCATTGCCAAGGAGCACAGGGACCAGCCGTGGCCTCCTCCCTCCTCCCAGAAAGCAGCGGACTGGGACTTGGACTTGGCAGCTAGTGCGCCTGGCCAGGCAGCGCCCCGCCACAATAAGAGTCCCCACAAGGAGGGCCCAGGGCGGGGAAAGCTCCCTGGCCTAGGGGAGGCTGGCAAGTCCTGGGAGGGGCTGCTTACAGGGGCGGTTTGCCAGAACGCTACATGCATCTCTACAGTTCCATTTTGTGAGAAAATGGATCTGCTGTCAGTCACAGCCAGCGATTTCCTCCTCCTTTGTTTCTGCATCTTCCACTATTGGAGGCTTTTATAAAACTTGAAAATGCACTCAACAAAACCCAGGAGGGGCAGGCCAGGCAGGAAGGAAAGGAGGAACAGAGACCCCAGATGCCCCCTGCCCTCCAGCAGGCCACCTGAACACTGCAGGGGCACCTTCCTGCTGTCTCCCACATAGCTCTGGGATAGGACATTGCTGACCGCTGACTGAAGGCACCAGGTCAAAGCCGCAGCCTGCCTCAGCCTCACAGGAGCCTGAGAGGGTCGTGGAAAGCCGCCCAGTCTGCAGATTTCATGCCAGACTCTGGCATCAGGTAGCCATAAAGGCCAGGAAGCCGGGAGCTGCTCCTGAGTTCCCACTTGCCCACACCTGAGTTCCTGTGACCTCAGTGATACCAACCAAGGCACCCAGCTCTGATTAGTCTGCCACCATCTCCTTTACACCGGGTCCCAGAGGTGTAAGGAAGAAGGCAGGAGCATGTCCATCCATTGCAGGGAAAACCCACTCAACCCCCGAAATGACGCGAACATCGCCTTCCACATCCTGCCCACGCAATGTCTATAGCAACAGTGTCCATAACACTCCAAATCTCACGAGTGTAACTTTCTAGTAAAGCTGCATCTGTCAAGCTACAGGAAACATCTGGTAAGCTGGTTAAATGAAAACAAGCGTTTCGACTTCTCACTTGAGAGGTTACTAATGGTACCAAGGAGACACTGGTCACAAACGCCCAGAATTGCACGGGAACTGTCTGTGAGGGGACAGGAAAGTACAGAAGCCAGGGATGCTGGGCTGCGTACATACACCCTGCTCCCTGGCAGATGCTGCTGGCTGGGTCCTGGCCCTGCCCCTCAGCTGCGCCCACCGCTGTGGCCCCTGCCGTCCCAGGCCCAGCCCCTCTGCAGGCTGGCAGCAGGAGTCCCAGGGGGACAGCAAGGTTCTCTACTCGGTCACAAGCACCAGGCATCATGCAACAGGTCCAGCAGTTCTTTCCCCAGCACATGACAAGGCTTTTCCACTGAAGATCCAACTCCTCCTACTCGAAAAAGAAGGAAAAAAAATCTACATTCTGAAAGCACTGTAAGGTTGAAAAGCAAATCACACCTGTTATTTTGCTAGCACAGCTGACACAGGATCTGCACTGTGCACACCTTCACCAGTAAAAATGAAAGACAACACGCAGCAAGAAGGGGTTTCCTCCATGAGACCTGTGACAACCAAAGACGACAGCAGGCACCTTCGGGTGGCCCTGAGCAAGTGGCGGAGCTCACTGCTCCACCCAGACCCTGGGCCCTGGCAATGCCCCCTCCCAGAAATGAGCGTGTGACTTACGAACACGGATGGAGATGTTAGAGTTGCATGAGGGAATGCAAGACCTTGAAAGCCATCCAAATACCAGTATTTGTCAGCGTGTCCTTCTGACTCCAAGCAACAGACAGCATGGCCACTCGGTTGTCAGATAAAGAGGAAATTTACTGGAAGGAAACTGTGGTGGTTCTTGGAAGTGAGAGAAGCAAGCTGAACAACCAACTCTTTACAGTGGAGAGGAGGAGGCAGGCGGGCATATCTGGAGGGCCGCACATCCTGCCTCTGACAGGAGTTACCCTTAGCCCGCCCGCAGCACCAGGGACACTCCTGGAGCAGCTCCAGGCTCCCTACTCCATCACCTTCACAGACCCTGCATGACCGCCACCTGCCAACCAATGCACCACTAAGGAGTAAGTCATACCAACCCAAAGATGCTGGCAGTGTCATCACGATTACGTATCAAAATCCTCCAATGCACACACAAACCCCAGTTTCCGTGGAGACCCTTCCCCCGAGGACTGACTGAACTATTTACAAGACCCCTGACACCAAGGGCTCAGTTGTGCAGGAGGGGAGAAAAGGTGGCCCACACCAAGAAGGCGGGGAGCACCGCCAGGACAGTGACAGCTGCAAGGAAAGGAGTCACCTCAGATCTCGCGGCAGCGGGAACCATGATTCGTGTCACGCGCTGCAGGTGGCTTAGATTCCCATCCTCTGCCACCTCCTCTCCTGCCATGCACCAACTCTACACACCTCCTCATGTCACCCGGACACATACCCCCAGTGGCACACTTGGACCTGGAATTCGGCTTCACTACAGGGCTACAGGGAGGGAGAGGGCATGTTCCAGAGCAAGTGCAAGGAAGCAGTGCCAACCGTGAATGTGGGAATGTGTCCCCCAAAAGTCCTGCGTTAAGAGGCAGAGCTTCTTGTAAGGTGACTGGACCCTAGAGCTTGTGTCCATCAGGAGGTTCATCTATTGAGGAGTTCTTAGTGGATGGTACTGCACAAAGGTGGGGCCCAATCAGAAGAGGTAGTCACCAGAGCTGTGACCTGGAGAGCATGCTCTTATCCCTGGCTCCTCCCTTTGAGCTATTTCTTGCCCACCTGCTGTCCTCCACCAGGCCCTTCTGCCATGCCTGTTCCCCTTGGAGCCAGCTTGCCATGGACTGAGGCCCCTGAACTGTACGTGAAATGAAACTCTCCTCCTCCCCTTTGGAAGTGTCAGGCATCGTGTCCCAGCGATGGAAAAGTAGTTAACCCAAGGCAGGCCTGACGACATGTGAAGGAAGAAAGGTGCTCTTAAAACCAGTTCTGGCAAGGCAGGGCTTACAGCGAGGTGGGCAGGGCTCCAGGGGGGAGAATCAGTTTCAGCCAGAGACAAAAAACCTAGCAACCATAATCTCCAGTGGTCAGTCATGGCCTGAACTCACAAAAGACATCAGAAGGTCTATACAAGAGGGCAATGCCTGGGAGGGTGGTTCTGATGTCCACATTTCAGTCTGCTTTATCCCACTCAAGTGCACATGGACACCTGACTGCAGACATGGCAGGACTGGGGGAAGGAGGCGTATGCTGGGATTAATGTCTCTCTCCAGAAACTGCACCGGCTTTCATGAGAACAGGATGGTTCTCACGAGAGTAGCCATCAGCCCCTCCACACACGTTACAACACAGCATGAGATCCCCATTACATGCAGCCACTGATCTTAGACCTCCAACCACAAAAAGTGTCAGCTGAGTACAATAAATTGTGTCACCTCAGGATTCTGTTAAAACACCGAGAAACGGATTAAGATGACGAGTCTATGAAAGATCTGAAAGAAGCTGATGATGCAAGTAGCAGGGGACTCAGCAAAGCAAGAAAGGAGTCAGGAGACCCAAGGGAGGGGAGAGGCCGAGCAGGAGAAGCAGAGACAGCCGGGGACCCTCACACAGAGAGGCAGTGTGGGCCTCAACTTGACCCCACTCTTCAGGCCCCAGTGAATTTCCCTGAAGGCCCCACAAGTAGCAAGTGCCACTTCACAGCCCCAGACCCAGGGAATCCAGAGCTCTGGCAGGCCTGTTAGCAGTTTCTCAGCTGTACCCGGTGACTGAGCGACCCCTGTCACCACTGTCCCTGCAAGGTGCTCCGAGAAGGTGGCTTTCCCTGGTCAGAGTTGGGGGAGCGCAGGCCCAATTTCTGACTGGCATCCAGGCTGTGTGTGGCTTATTCATGTACAGAAGCCCATGCAGCCGACAGTCACCTCAAGGTTTACCCTGATGGAATGCTGAATCACATCATTAGACTACATCTGGAAGGCAAGTGTGCCCCAGAGATGGGCCACTCACAAACAGCCTCACGATAAGGGGATTGAGGCCTCCCTCCCTGTTTGGTGTTAATGGGAACTCATCTTCTCACAGTCTTAAGGCTGGAGGTCAGAGGTACGGTCCAGTATAACAGGTGTCCAGCCAGGGTCTCTTCCTGGCTTCCACACAGCCACCTCCACACTGGCAGGAAGACAGCACAGGTGTCCTTCTCACAAGAGCACAGACCCCACCAGACCCAGCCTGCTCATGACCTTGGCTAACCTAACCCTTGTCAGCCCTCTAAACCACCACACCACATCAGAGGTTCACAAATGCATTTTGAGGGGACACAATTCAGTCCACACTCTGTTCCATGGCGGCTGACATCTAAGCCTCTTGGCTGCGTGGAACCTCTGTGCACCGATCAGCCACAGGCTGCAAGTGGGCACACACGTCCCTGACTCTGACCAGGGAACACCTGGCAGGGACCGCAATGACAACAGTGACAGAGGTCACTTGTTCACTGGACACAACTGAGGAGCTGGTCAACAGGCCTAGCAAGGCTGTAACTGTTCCTTGATGGCTCAGTGACCTGGAAAACTGCAGGGTGAGGAGAGTTCCGCCCCAGAATCCCGTCTACAATGGCTGGGCCTGACAACAGCTGGTCAGCAACTTGGGCTTGCCATGGGCTGCTATCCTTGAGAATCCGACCCGCCTCCTTCGGAAGAAGTACACAGGGAACAGAGATGGTGACGGGGACAGCAGTGAGGCTGGCTTCCTTGTGCAGGCTGCAGTGTGCTGCCTCTGTCGGCAAAAGGCCGCCCAGATAATGTCTGGAACCCAGGTCTCCATTGCACCCGGCTCCTGCCCCACAGCAACGTCAGGTCCTCTCACCATGCTCAGCAGACAGTAAGGTAGGCTTCAGAATGCACAGCAGAGGGAGAGTGTGTGTCATAACTCTAAGATGTGGCAAAGCTATGCCAATTGCTGTCACTCATTAAAGTGCCCTAGCCATGGAACTGGGGCTTGGAAGTCAACTGTGGGTGGCACACATGGCCTCGCAGGTCAGGCTTAGAGCACAAGAAATAGCGACAGGTACCCACCAAGGCTACCTTCCTGTTATCTGTCCTGCTGGTCCGGGATCCGCTGACAAAAGGACACAATTTATGTGCTGTCAGGGAGCCTGGCTTTGCCTGGCTTTGCCCCACGGGAGGAAACCAACCCCGATGTCATGGGGCAGCACCAAGGAATATGGTCCCTGGGCACAATCAGCCACGACTGAGCCCCAGCCCAGAGGCAGTGTCCTAGAAACAGCCCACGGGGCCAGGAGAAGCAGCAGAGTCCTGAGCTACCACCTGGGAGCAGGGTGAGCACTGGCTTCCCGGGCTTCTGATGGACCACGCCCACCTGTGGGTGGGGGGGCGGCTCTGCACCTGCGCAGCGTTCTCACCTGCCCACCCCCCAAGAGCCACTCCACTGAGATGAGGCCAGTCTCAGGCTGTTGCCCACACTCACAGCCAGCATGACAGAGACTGAGGCGGGGAGGCCAGAAAGAAAGCTGGGACACTGCTCGGCCCTGTCCTCTGACCCCAGCCCACACATCTCCACCACTGCTGTCCCGTCTACAGACTCTGGTCAGGTGGCGCTGCTGGGAAAGGGCTGATGTCAGCGCCCACAGCACCGTGGACAAGGAGGCCTTTGTTCCCCGCTCAACTGTAAAAACAAGAAAAGGCCTCCAGCCTGACAAACAAGAAACCACACAACCCGGGCAGGCCTATGACCTCGCTTAAAGGAACCGTGCTCCTACGGCAGGACGGCCACGCACAGGACGGGCAGCTCTTCTCCTGTGGCCCCGCGCCCCGCTCTCCCCAACCAGGTCCCCAGGGTCTGTACTGATATGCGCAGGCACGGGAAGGAGGGTAGGCCAGGGAGAAGCTCCCTGCCCTGCGTGAGGTACACAGAGAAACTGCAGGTAAAGCTAGAGAGCCCTCTTCCTCCGGGAGCACCCTGGGAGCAGGGACACTGGGTGTGACAGTGGAGGGAGGTTGGGCACCCCTCCCCGGCCTGCAGTGTGCCCAGGAGGGAGTGGTTTTGGGAGAAAGGGTGGCATCTGAAGGAGTCTACTTAACCGTCTTTATCAAATCTGGTGAGGAACAAAAAAAGATGTCTTCGTTATTTAAAGCAAACTATGAAACATTCCCGTTTTACTGGGTGTGGTGTCACATGCCTGCAACCCCAGATTCTTAGGAAGCTGAGGCAGGAGGATCTTAAATTCAGAGCCTGAGCAACTTAGGGAGACCCTTTCTCAAAATAAAAACTAAACTGCTGGAAGTGCAGTCAGTGTAGAACCCCATGGATTCAATCCCCAGGATGACAAACACGCATGCAAATGCCCAGTTTCAATATTTAAGCTAAAGTTACTATTGGCTTGTGCCACATATTTAAATTTGCTCTCCCCTGACATATAAAAGACTCATTCAGGGCTGGGGGTACAGTTCAGTGGTGAGTTCACCTAGCATGTACCAGCCCAGGGCTCCATGCCAGCACAGCAAGACCCCCAAACAAGGAGGAACCTGTTTGTTTTTGGAGGGATCCCACCTGTCCCAGATGCCTCGCCACGTCTAGGGGAGATGGGGGGAGGTGGCAGTTCCTCCTTCTGAGTCCCTG